CGGCCGGGTATGACCTATACCCGATCGGGTAAGTCGCTGAAAAAATCGAATCGGATCAACCGGGAACAAGGCAACATGCAGAGGAGATTTTGGCACGATCGAGTGTTCATACACGATCGGGTGGCCGACATACCCGATCGGGTATGACCCAGTTTTTTATACTTCCGCGAAGCAACCGAGAACCCGATCGAGTGCCCTTACATCCCGATCGGGTACACGACCCTGCAAGCCTAAAAAGCCTATAAATACCCCCCTTTCCTTCCCACAAAAATGACCAATTCACATATACTTCTTAGCTCAGTTTAGACAAGTTCTTTCTTTATATTTTCTTCATGTTTAGTCTCCAAATGAGGAGCTAAACTCTTCCATCTCGGTTTTGCTACTTTGAAGCTTAATGAATTTGTAAGTTGTGAGTTATTTTCTTTAATCTTCTTCCTTGAATATTAATTATTTCCTATTCATATTCCATATTAATATTTTGATCATTACTTAAAGGATCAACTAATTTTGTTTCATATATTAATTATTACTAGAATCAATCGATTAATACGCTTGTTATTAATTCGGTTCTTTCAACGGTAGTAAAACTTGGATTATTAATGCATGCGTCTCATGGTTAATAATCTAAGGGGAATTAATTATATTGATTAAACCAATAAACCACTTGTGTCGAGGTTATCAATCTCAATCGTTTTCATCTTAAGTTTATTGCTACTATTGGGCTAATATACGACGCTTGTTCTATATTAACTCGGTAGTAAGTTTTATTAATGAACGCGTCTCGTTATTAACAACTACCCTCGATGAACTGGATATACTCCTGGATTGAGTATTCGAGAGGAAGATAGTTAAAGATATAACCGGGATCGACGAACATTTCATTAAGTAGATAAAAGCAAAACCAAGTCCTCGTCTCTATAAATTAAACTCATATAAGTCGTTTATCTTAGTGTTAATTAAATTAAATCAAATCAAACTTCAAACCCCCCTTGTTACTATTTATATAAAAGAAAAGTATTCCTTTCCCTGTGGATACGAACCTTACTTCACTATACTACGTATTAGTGTTGTATTGATAAATTATTTTGAGTGCACCTCAAGACAAGTGCACGTCAGCGTTGTATCTCCCGCACAGTTTGAGGGGGTGTAATATAATATTATTAGGAATATTTGTTTCCTAGTATGTCTTGAACTCTTCTTATTATAAATATACAGACCAGGACTCCTATTGGAGTACCTTTCCCAAAATATTCTCACACAGAACACTCAGGAAATTTTCGGAGTAGCTGGAAGTGGTTTTAGAGCTAAAAACTACGTGCAGATTGCTTATGAACGTGTAAGAACGTATATATGTTGCAAAGCACCTGCCAGTTATTTATAGGAGGATTTGTTGTGTGTTAAATGGAGTGTTAATGGACTTGAACGTAACATCAATGACCAGTCCGTTGGGCATTGAATCGTCCATAAACTGTCCATTTAACGCTGCATTAAAAGATAAAAATGTTGCACATTTATTGCTGTAACGGTCCAGAAGATCTTGAGCCTTTCTGTTGCGACCAGAAGACATCGACCCCTTCTGTTGCGACCAGAGTACCTCGGCCCCTTCTGTGCGACCAGAATACCTCGAGGGTTTCTGTTGAGCCGAACAGAAGTGGAGCGGTTCTATTGAGAACATAACCCTCTTCTGGTCCGTACAGAAGCGGAGCGATTCTTCCAGTCTGGAAAAAATTAAGGAACGTTACGGGAAGAAACAAAAATTAAATTGTATCTTTGAAGGATAGATTTTCGGACGACAATCGTGTCCGTAGGTCGCTCGCGCACACGAGTCACAGTTTTTCTTCTCCATTTTCGGGATTTAATCGGCACCCCCCTACGCACGAAGAGAGCTTTTCCCCGTAGGAATCTTAACTCCTTCAATGAGGGTTCCCTTTATAAGGGGGTAAAAATCTCTTGGGTTTTTCGGTGTGGGATAAAACACACTAGAAATACATCATTTTCCTAGTTTTTCCGTTTCTAACGAGTGAACTTCGAGAATCAATTTCTCATTCACCCGTTATCCGTTTTGAGTGTACCACATATCGAATTGTAGCCCTTAACAAGGACAATCCGAAACCACTTTGACCCAATCCAAATTGGAAGTGGACCCCACTCAAAAAATTGCCAAAAAAGAAATTTAATGCAATTTATTAACACATTTTCCAACACAATATTGGATGAGGAGACATGGAATATTGTTGTTTTTGCGATAGTGGTTTTCTAGATGCAATGATATGAACTCGTCACTTGAATAATGGCATACCGGCCATGATTTGCACACATTTTTAAAATGGAGTGACGACTTCATAAACAACCGTGACAAAATCTCCATCATGAAATTTTCATTCAAAACACACATGTCCTTGGTTGTGATCACTATATAGACCTCTCTTGCTCATTTTTATTCTGCAAATGGTAGGATCGTTCATTAATCAAAATTGTACTTGCCGGTCTTGGTTTGCTTTCGTTCACATGTCTCTTTGGTTTGTTTTGGTCCGCAGGTGTGTTATCGGCAATCTCCTTTTTTGTCCTCCCATAGGAGGATTCTATTTTTGTCTAGTCAAACGTCTTAAGTCTTACTCTCTCCGTTTCTGAAACAAGTTCCACATTTGACTTCACACATATTAAGAAAATAAATTTGACTTTACTGTGGAATGCACTGTTTGACACTGTTTGAACACTGTTTCACACTGTAAGGGAGTCTGGAGTAATCTAGACTGAAACTCAATTCATTGAGTTTCGAACTCGAGACCTTCCGTAAGGGAGAGTGAGTCGGTGCCAGTTGGGCTGGACTTCCTCTTTTCCTTCTTTTTCTTCTTTCCATTTGTTATTTCGTTTCCAGTTTTGTGTATTTTTTCCGGATTATTTCTTATCTAATAAAAGATCTCTTTATCATCGAACTGTCTTTACTTTACTTTCTTTTTACTTCAACATATTTATTTCCTTTTCTTACTTGATTCCACAACTAATATATTTTCTATTTTTCTAAAAAATTCAAAGAAAAAAATTAAAAAGTAGATGGAAAAAGTTATAAAAAGGGACTACAATGAATAGGAATACATAAATAAAGAATACAAATTTAGGAGAAGAAAAAAAGGAAAAAACTATCAAGAGAAAATTATATTCAAACCTCGTATGATAAATGGATAAAGGAATACAAAAACAAGGTAAATTAATGAAAATAAAAATAAGAAAAAGGAATAAAAGTATTGTGAGGATAAAAGAAAAAGTGAAAAAAAGGAAGAAAAAGAAAAATCATATGTCGGACCGTTTTGAGAAAAGAAAAAACTTGAAATAATAGGTCGTCAATCAGTGAGGGATCAACGAAAGAAAATGAGGTGCAAACGTGAGATAATTATCACATTACAGTTGGTGAAGTATTCTTGGAAAATTGGTAAAATAATTACTTCGCATGCAAATTGCATGGATGTAAAATGTTTACACCGTTTGGTTGGGTTATTTAATATAAACTGTATGACACTTTTTAAAAATATTTTGCAGTGTAACATGTAAAATATTTTACATCGGGGGAGAGTAGTAAAATACGTTGCATCCTTTTTATAAATCACTGTAATGATTGTACGTGAAAATTAGAAATATATCTAATCAAACAATGTAATGTATTTTATATGTAAAATTATTGTTTTCTTAAACTTTGCATTCAATCATTTAATATGTAAAGATTTAATGTGTAAACTACCAAGCAAGCCAAATGGGAAATTATTAATTTCCATTTTTTAAAAGTTTTTTACAGCAAATTAAGAGGCCGTTTGGTAACACCGAAAACTGGTTGAATCAGCAGATTCTGTTGAAGTTTATGAAGTTATAACTGAAGTGGATGGATTGACTGATTCTACTGATTTATGAAAATACTAGTTTTTTACGCGCGTTGTGCGATATAATAAATGCCCAATATTATTTACTTTTTAAAAAGAAGTATGTAGTATCAATTTCCTATAGACGTACCGTGCGAATATTTTAGGAATAATAAAAATATGGGAAAACTGTCAATTTTACCCTTGTACTATCACAAAAAATCAATTAAGTCCTTGTACTTTTAAAAAATCAATCAAATTCTCGAACTTTATAAAAATTTCAATTGAGTTCAATAAGAGGGACTAAATTGACGGTTTTCCCTAAAAACATTCATAGCACCATTGAGGTCTCATTTCTACTCTTAATATACTCTAGCTAATTTTACTACGATTTCCACTGTACCCTCTATACAGACAACATAATACAGGACCTACTCATTCATTAAGTAATAGTAATGAGTGCAATAGAAAGAGATACACCGGCTTCTCAACTTAAGGCATTGAATAAGCTATACAAGTGTGCTCTTGCCTTTAAGATAACAAATCTAAAGTTTATTTTTGTTAAAAGACAGGCAAGGTACGCCATTACTGTGATATAAAGTAAGACAATAGCTCATACATCACACAAATAACCATAATCAGATATAACACACCTTGTATACAATGATCAAGATATATCTACACATTTACAGTGCAGGAGATATTATTATTATGATTATTAGTATGATGATGATGATTGTTATTATTATTAATCTTATAAGGTGTTCAATATTAGTATCAAGCATGAGTAATATTTTAATACATCAAGTGTAGCAAACAATTCTGCTAATTATAATTCTGTCAAAGGTTGAGCAAAGTCAATTGAGAAGGGAAAACCTGAAGGCAACCAAAAACTTATGTTTGAAAACTAAGTGTCACCAAGGGATACTTGCATAGTTGCACTTATGTTCATCTAGAGCCAATGCGCGGAGTTCTTATCAAACATTTTCAAATTCAGTAATGGATCGATCCAGCAACTTACAATCAATTTTCAAACTAAATCAGAGATTTAATTACCTATAAGAGTGTGTATGGATATTTCAGCAAACACATAACAATCACAACAAAAGTAAGGGATGAAATGAAATAAATAACAACAGTGGACTGTAATTAGTTGATTGAAACCACATTTTATGAATTGAAATCCAACAAATACAGAAATGAAAAACCAACACGAACAAGGCAGGGTAACGACCGTAGTTAGGAATGATGAAGTCGAGTTAAATATTAGGGGAATATGTTGATATAGCACAGAAGCAGAGCTTCTAAGACTATCCAATATCATAAATAGTTTAGCAACATGACTCCAGGAGCAGCACAAAGATCAAGGACGTGATCTCCTGATGAGATGTCCAAAGCTAACACTGCAGCTCTAGATGTTGCATCAATTCCATATATCATTCCATTTTGGTATGCCTTTGAGCTAGGTGTTCTAACATCAGGTGCGAAATAATAGAAACTCGGCAACCAAGAGACCTTTTAAAGTTCACCTCCAATGTCGACTTCAATTGCCTCTAAATTAAAGTCATTTTGTTTCAGAAAATCGAGAAAAGCTTCCGGCAATGGAACACTTGAGGAGTCGGCATCTCCGTCCATGACCTTCTTGTGCCCGAATTTTCTGCCAAACGGCCACCTTTATAGCGATCGTCTCTACACCGGCGACGATAATATGATAGCTACTAACGGGCATTGAATCAAAAGAATAACTTACACGCCATAGCATTAACGGATGGAAATGAAGCTGAGTTATGTCAACCTTTAAAGTGCCATAGCATTGCACGCAGGAAGTAAAATAAGCTCTGGGTACAATTGTCCGAAGTGCAAAGTTACACGAACATATATTTTTGACCATTTTACCCCTAACATTATTCATGCTTATAAGATTGTAGATAGAGTATCTACACTTGTAAAATTGTTTAGTTAGTGGCTAAATTTATATTTGCTGACAAATTTTATAAAGTTTGTGCCTGAAGCTTGCAACCTGACTTTAATGGTTTTGCTGTGAAATTTAGTCAGAAAAATAAAAAAGGTATGGAAACCCCACCATTTCAATTCATATATCCCTGCTTACCACCTATTCTTGCCACTGCTCTTAGTCTCATTTCATTGTTTCCCCAAAGATGAAATCAATATTAGACAAAGTTTCAAGACTATTGGTGAATGACAATCTTGATTACCATTCTTAAAGATTTCATTTCCGCACTTATTCTTTCAGAACTTAAAAACACGGGAAACGGGTTGGGAAGAAACCTATTTACCCAAATATAGTGGAATCGAGTGAAGAAAGGTGAATACGAACAAAAACAAAAACATGGGGAAGCAGATACAACACATACCAAGAAAAGAGTGAGCAATAGACGGACTTTTATCAATTAAATTAGATTTTCTCCTTTCCCATGTATGAAAAAATTAAATCAGATTTTCATATTAAGAGGGAAATACTGTAATAGCCGAAAAGCTAATGAAGGGATAACCAATAATCATTATTCAATATTTCAATTCATGTTAATCAAGCATTCACATTGAGTTACCAGACAAGCCTGGTTTGTAGAAGAGTGAGAGGGGTTTTGGGTTCTGGTAGTAGTCGAGCAAAGCGGCTGAACCCAATATTTGGATTCCTCGTAATCAAGCATTCACATTGAGTTAACAGATAAACCTGATGTGTAGAAGAGCTAAAGGGGATTCTGGATTCAGGTAGTAGTCGAGCCGAGGCGGCTGGACCGCTGTAGAAAAAGCCGATTGACCGAATCTGCAAAACGAGCGAAGAGCCGATTGATCGATTCTGCGAGGGCAGGTGAAGAGAAGAGAGGAGAGGCAGAGAAACTTTGAAATCCGGAATCCCGGCCCCTTTCTTTGGTTCATCATCGTCTCAATTCCAATTACGCAATCCTCAATAGCAAGGACCAAAGAGTCGAGGTGTGGCTAATTAGGTATTCAGGTTCAGGTAGTCGGTTATAGTGGGGGTTGCGGAGGTGACAGGATGTGGCAACACTACACGGATGGACAAACTGCGTTTCTTAACGGAGATGTAAGCACTTCAAAAAGGAACATATAATTAAGCACACAGTACAACTCAACTAAGCAATAAAGATCCACCAACAAATTTTATATACCTAAATTAGGTCTACCTTCATTCATGCTTATTATTTTGTAGAGATTACGAGTATATTTAAAATATTTTTATTAATAAAATAAAGAAAATTTATATGAAAAAATAGCTAAAATAATGCTTTAGAGTAACTTCCGGCAATACAGCCAGAAAAATTGCATTCTCGATTGAATTTTTAGCTGAAATTTGATATGAATAAACTAGACTTAACGAAGAAGATACTCAACAAATTTCATAAAATTGTTTTTACAGCAAACCACTTTCGACCAGTTTACCAAACGGGTTGTAAAAGAAGGATGTGAGATACTAAAAAGTTTTTTACAGCAGCTTAAGCCAATTGAACAACTTCAATCATAAATTCATCATTTTCTTTTTGCAGATTGAGCGGATTGAGTGTTAAGTTTTTGCAGCCAAAGAACCCTAGTTTGTCGTGGCTCTTATTTTTATCTATGTTTCAGTGTTTATGATCTCTTGAACCGCCAAACTGTGTGAGGTTGATTTTTGGTTGGATCATGTCATCCAAACCGTTAGACTATGAGAATCTGAATGAAAATGTGAAGAGTTGTCAATATGCGGTCAGAGGTGAGCTTTATCTTCGGGCTTCAGAGCTTCAGAAAGAAGGGAAGAAGGTATGCATTGTCTAGTAGTACTGTAGTACTAGTAGTAGACTGTAAAGCTAACAGCTTGGGTTCTGCCCTCATATCCCTCAGCAAACCCCTCTCTCTTGCTATAAATCGTTGTCTATCTTATATTCTTTTTATAATATGTCTTTTTTTAAAAAAAAATCAACTTGCTATGCTCATTAACACTATATCTCATTCTGGCCAACATAATATATAACTAATCAACATATTTAAGAGTTAAGACTTTATGCTACTCTTCCTATCATACACAATAACATCCAATTTGAAGTGCATTACACTCTATTCATATCAAATCTATGTATGAATATACTAGCAGAAGCCGGAATTGAGCTTTTGGATGCAGAATAGAGTTTTGTTTACATAATTCCAATAAGAATTTCGGAAATTGGGCAAAATCCTGGTAAGGAAATATGTAGTGTTCATTTGTAATGCTTTTCTGATTTCCTAGCATTCTACAAACCCTGCAGATCATCTTTACGAATGTTGGCAACCCTCATGCCCTTGGGCAAAAGCCCCTGACCTTCCCTCGCCAGGTTTGTTATGATTGCACTCAAACTGTTTTATCAAATTTAATATTCCGTATTTCTTGATTTGCTTTCTGCATTTTCTAAGGGTTTCTAAATAAAAAAAAATATACAAATAACATATAAGCGAGATGACCTCTTAAGTTACCTAAATAAAAAATATAAGAGAGAACCAGAAGTCTTAATACTTAAATTAGTTAAATATACATATAAATCTCTTTGCCGCAGGTAATTGCACTCTGCCAAGCCCCATTTTTATTGGATGATCCAAATGTTGAACTTGTATTCCCAGATGATGCTATTGAAAGAGCTAAACAGTACCTTGCAATGACCTCTGGTGGTCTAGGTATCGTTCTCCTTCATTTTTTACATCACTCGTCCTCCTAAATCTATTAGAAGGGTAAATAGTTTGCTCTTTATTATTATCCACGTAGGTGCTTACAGTGATTCACGTGGAATTCCGGGAGTAAGGAAAGAAGTGGCAGACTTTATTGAGAGACGGGATGGATACCCAAGGTGATAATGCTTATTTTGTATGTTTTGTTGAATCAAGGCTTCTTTACTAGGTAGTAGGTATGGAACCAAGAAAATGATAAGGAAAGGGACAAAGTATTTAAGGAAATATTATGGAAATTACAAATAAAACCAGTTGGGTTAGAACTTTTAATTTTTATTAGATTTTAAATAAAATGAGTTCAAACAAATATATAAAATTGATTCATTGAGTATGAACCATTATTCTCCTCAAGTTTATTTCCCTCCACATTCCCTTTTTGTTCTCTTGCCTGCTTTTTACGTAGGCTTTTACGAGTTCTAAATATATAATGTCTATAGTTCGTTCATTGGTGCATTTTGTACAGTGATGCAGAATTCATATTTCTGACAGATGGGGCCAGCAAAGGAGTAGCGCAGATCTTGAATACTATCATCCGCGCTCCGAATGATGGGGTAATTATCCACCAACCAAAATTAGGGCCTGTTTTGTAGGCTGCTTCAGTTTATCCTGCTTATAAGCAAAATTTCCTTTCAGCATATCAAACCATTTCTTCATATAACCCCTACGAACCTACCAGATGGCCTCTTAGATTTTCTTCTTTGATTGAAGCTTATACTTGGCAGTTTGAATCAATTCCATGCATTTCCCAAACTTGAGTCTAGTACTAGTAAGTTCAGTAGTGTTATTTTCTGACTCCATATTAATTTCTTAGATATTAGTCCCGGTTCCACAATATCCACTGTACTCAGCTACAATATCCTTACTTGGTGGTTCTCTGGTTCCGTATTATCTTGAAGAGACTTCAAATTGGGGTCTGGATATCAATGACCTTCATCGTTCAGTTTCAGAAGCTCGATTCAAAGGATTAACTGTAAGCGTTACTGCATCTGTTTCTTAACATATAGATGTCCCTGTAAAGCTCAGTATATTTTTTCCTCTATTTATTCTGTGAAATTCTAATTCCTTACAAATCTTGAGGGAACTTATATGGTTGTATTTTTCATATGTATACCCTTAGCGTGTGTTTTGTTCAAAGGGAGGGGAGGGTCACTTTATTTTCTTTTCCCTTCCCCTATGTCCTCTCCTTTGATGTTTTCCTTTCCCCAAGATGGGGAGTTGCCCTCTTCCCATCCCCACCTTTGAACCAAACACACTTAAGATGTTTTTAGTTGGATTGAAATATTTTGGTTTGGTCTGTTTAAGTCTTGTGTACTTTACAACTACCAAAGTGTGTTCTGGTCTGTTTTAATCTGGTCTTGTTTGATCCGGTCTGGTTTGGTATGTTCAAGTCTGGTATGTTTAAGTCCAATCTGGTTTGTTCTGATCTGAACTGAAATGAGTTCAAGTGAAAACATCCCTATTTGGTTGTATTTTCCATATGTATACCCATCTTCTTATCATCTTTTTTTCCATTTATCTTATTTATCTTTCATATCTATTTAATCCTTTTATCTTTTTTATTATATATATATATATATATTCTTTTTATCCTTTTTATCTTTTCAATTTATGTATATCTCATCTCTATTTTTTTAGTTATCTTTTTTATCATACCTTATATTTTTATCTTTCTTTTCCTTTTGGCTCTGATATCATGAATCAATTCATGTTAGCCGACTCCAAAATCTTTTGGGACTAAGGCTTGGTTGTTGTTGTTGCATACCCTTAGGGTGTGTTTTGTTCAAAGGGAGGGGAGGGTCGCTGATTTTTCTTTTTCCTTCCCCTGTCCCTTCGATATTTTCCCTTCACCCCAAGACGGGGAGTTGCTCTCTTCCCATCCCCACCCTTTGAACAAAGCACACCCTTAGACTGTGTATTTGTCTCCACCCTCCTCTGAGCTTTTATTGCTATTATTTTTGCATGAGCCTTGTTTTAAACTATCTTTTATCTATAAAATGTGAAAATATAAATCTACATAAAAGCTTTATACTACATTTCCTATAAGGAAGTCCCTAGTCTAAGTACATGTTAGATATACTACACCGTATTGTAATAACTTTAAGTCCGTTAGTATTCAGTTAGTTGGTTCGTCTAGTTGAGCTGTAGCCCTCTATATAAATACTCTGTACACTTGCTTTGTTGCTTAGTGAATTCATTACATTCATCATTATCTCTCTCTGAATTCTATTATGGTATCAGAGCATTAGCCCGATCCAACCATGGTGAATTCTTCATCAACTTCTTCTTCAATTACGGGAAATTTTACTCTTCCGGTAATTCTCAATCATCCTCTTCCGATAAAACTTGACTCCAATAATTTTCTATTTTGGAAGCATCATGTCGAATCTGTTATGCGAGCCACAAACTTCTGAAATTTGTTGAAAAACCTAAAATTCCTGAACAATTCATCGTCGACAATGATGGCAAGACTAATACAGTGAACGAAGAGTACACTATATGGGAGCAGCAAGATCAAATGGTATTTTCCTGGATTCTCGCATCACTCACCGAATCACTTCATGCTCGTGTCATTCAGTGTAGACACTCATACCAACTTTGGAGCGAGATTCACAAATTCTTCAAGTCGCACATCATCGCACACGCTCGTCAACTCAAATCCGAACTCTATAATACCAACAAAGGTGATCGATCTATTACTAAATATCTTCTGCATATTCAAAGCATTGTTGAAAACCTTACAGCTGTAGGAGAGTCTATTTCTCCTAAGGATCACATTAATGTGATCCTTGAAGGACTTCCTGAAGATTACGAAGCTCTTGTATCATCAATTTCTTCCAGAAGCATTCTCGATCCCCTCTCTCTCTGAACTCGAAGGATTGTTGCTAGCCAAGGAACTTCGAGCCAGAAAACAACGTGAATCTTCACAGCAAAATCTGTTTTCAGCTAATGTTGCTCGCTTAGAAACCTCCACTACAAATGATGACTCTATATCTCAAAGTTCTACAGAAAACTCCTCTGCGTATGTTGCTGAGTTTCCTAAGTCACACAATAATGCTCCATACAGATGTAGAGGTCGTGGAAGTCCCTTCAGAGAGCGTGGAGGTCGTTCTGGAGGTCGCAGTTCAGTTGTTTGCCAAGTCTGTGGCAAAACTGGTCATATTGCTTTGGTATGTTATCACAGGTATAATCCTACATACACCGCTTCTATGCCTGGTGCTTCCCAACTATTCTATCCTCAACAAATTCATCCACAAACCTCTCAGCCTCCATCCTTTTCATCTCAACCAAGGTTACCTCAGAACAATATACAACCACATTTTCCAGAAAATCAAAACTGGGGTTACTCCCCATCTCAATCACCTAATAACTTCTACGAGATACCTCAAGCTTCTACCAATCCTCTACCTAATCCTTACACATCTCAAGCAAACCGGAACCAACATTCCCAAAATCCTGTACCCAATGCTGCCTAGGCATCTGCCAGCTCTTCTATCCTTGGACCTCATCCACAATCTAGCAATTGGTTTCCAGATTCAGGAGCAACACATCATGTTACTGCTGATCCTCTCAATTTACAACATAGTGAACCTGCTCTCACAACTGACAAGCTTTTCATGGTCAATGGTCAAGGTTTGGATATTAAGTCTATTGGTTTCTCTTCTTTTTCCTCTCCTTATCATCCCTCTTATACTCTTTTTCTTAACAATATTCTTCATATACCCACTATAACCAAAAACTTACTTAGTGTTAGTCAGTTTGCCAAAGATAACAATGTCTTCTTTGAATTTCATCCTCATGATGCTCTTGTTTCTGGTCACTGTTTCTCAAATTAAGTCTTGTAATATCATTCAGTCTTGTAATAGTTCTAGTTAGCATTTGAGGCTTGGTCATCCTCATATTGAGGCTCTAAAATCTGTACTAAAACTCTGTAATGTTCCCACTGTTAATAAAAGTGCAATTGATTTCTGTTCATCTTGTTGTCTGGGTAAAGCACATAGACTCTCATCTCCCCCACCATTTTTCACTCACCTTTTGAATTAATATTCACTTATCTTTGGGGACCAGCTCCCATTGTATCCTTTGATGGTTATTCCTACTATATTTCTTTCATTGATGCCTTCACAAGGTATACATGGATTTACTTTCTGAAAAAGAAGTCTGATGCTCTTGTAGCTTTCCAAAACTTTTATCAATACATTCTCAATCAGTTTTCTGTCTCTATCAAATCTCTTCAGTCTGATTGGGGAGGTGAATTCAGATCTTTCACCAAATTCTTAACTGAAATAGGCATTGCACATAGAATCATTTGTCCTCATACTCATCATCAAAATGGTGTAGTTGAGAGAAAACATAGAACCATTGTTGAGAAGGGTTTGTCTCTTCTAGCTCATTCCTCCTTGCCTCACAAATTTTGGGACATTGCCTTTGCAACATCAGTCCATCTTACAAATAGAACCCCTTCCAAATCAATTGTTAATTCCATTCCATATTTCAAGCTCTATGGTTCCATTCCAGATTACTCCTTTCTCAGAGTATTTGGATGTTCCTGTTTCCCCTTTATCAGGCCCTATAATAAACACAAAATGGATTTTCACTCTGAAGAATGTGTGTTTATAGGTTATTCTTCTCAACATAAGGGTTACAAGTGTCTCTCACCTTTTGGGAAAGTCTATATCTCTAGAGATGTAGTCTTTAATGAGTCCAAATTCCCTTATTCTATTCTTTTTAATTCACACATCAACCAGCCCTACAATCTATCTCAATCAAACTCATCCACACCCTCTAATACTACTTCTTCACCTCAAACTGATTCTACTCAATCAATTCCCACACACCCTCTATTACAATCTGGTTCTTCTCATCCAGAACCCCTTTCCCATAATACCTCACCATCTCATTCTTCATCCCGTTCTTCTGCACCAATTACATCTTCCTCATCCTCTTCACCCCTTATTTCTCTGACTAACTCTCACCCTATGAAAACTAGAGCTAAATCTGGTATTGTTAAACCTAGACTCAATCCTACCTTACTATTAGCTCCTGTTGAGCCCAGATCAGTTAAGCAGGCATTATCCTCTCCTCAATGGTTTGTTGCTATGAAATCTGAGTATGATGCACTGATTTCTAACGACACATGGTCTTTAGTTCCTCTTCCTCCAAATAAACAGGCTATAGGCTGTAAATGGGTGTTCAGGGTAAAGGAAAATTCAGATGGTTCTTTGAACAAATTTAAAGCAAGATTAGTCGCTAAAGGGTTTCATCAGAGGTTTGGTTTTGACTTTGAAGAAACCTTTTCTTCAGTTGTTAAGCCTATCACTATTAGAATTCTTCTTACTCTTGCTGTCTCCCATCAGTGGTCCATTCAACAGCTGGATGTCAACAATGCTTTTCTTAATGGGGATCTGAGTGAAGAAGTTTATATGGTACAACACTACAACCCCCGGGATTTGAAGCAGAAGACACATCTTTAGTTTGCAGACTTCACAAGTCTTTATATTGCTTGAAACAGGCCCCTTGATCCTGGTTTCACAAGCTGACTACAGTTCTTTACGGTGCTGGTTTTATGCAAAGCAAGTGTGATCCTTCTTTGCTTCTCTTTACATCTTCTGGAGTGCTGATATATGTTCTAATCTATGTTGATGACATCTTTGTCATTGGAAATAACCCTCCAGCTGTCCACAAACTCATTAACAAGCTGAATTCCTCTTTCTCTCTCAAAAACTTGGGAGACATTGATTTCTTTTTAGGAATCCAAGTTCAGAAACTTCCAGATGGCAGCCTACACCTCTCTCAAGCCAAGTATATTAGAGATTTACTAAATCAAGTTGGTATGATAGATTCTAAGGGAGTTCAGAGCCCTATGATCAGTACTTGCAAGCTTACTAATACAGGGAGTGACTGCTTTCCCGAGCCTTCTCAGTACAGAATACAGATCTATAGTAGGTATCCTGCAGTATGCTACCTTCACCAGACCTGAGATAAGCTATGCTGTTAACAAGGTCTGTCAGTTCATGGCTGCACCTCTACAAGATCACTGGAAAGCAATGAAACATATACTACACTATCTTTCTGGCACCACTACACATGGAATCATTATAAAACCCATTCCTCTATCCATTATGCCTCTACCCATTTCAGCATTCTGTGATGCTGATTGGGCCTCTGATCCTACTGACAGAAGATCTACATCAGGTTCTTGTACTTTTGTTGGTCCAAATATCATTTCTTGGTGGTCCAAGAAACAGTTGCGTGTTGCCAGATCCTCAGCAGAAGCTGAGTAGAGAAGCATGGCCGATACTGCAGCAGAACTCCTATGGGTTCAGTTCCTCCTTCATGAACTCCAAGTTCCTTTTGCAACTCCAAGAATCTATTGTGACAATCTAAGCATTGTTCAACTGGCTCATAACCCTGTCCTACATTCTCGCATCAAGCACATGAAGATTGATCTATTCTTTGTACGAGAGAAAGTCCAACTCAAGCAACTGCAAGTGTTTCACATTCCTGTTCAACACCAACTAGCTGATATTTTAACTAAACCCTTGTCTGCTGCTGCTTTCATTGACTTAAGAACCAAACTCAGTGTGACTACTCCTTCAGCTCCATCACCCTAAGTTTGAGGGGGGAATTTTAGATATACTACACCGTATTGCAATGACTTTAAGTCAGTTAGTATTCAGTTAGTTGGTTAGTCTAGTTGAGTTGTAGCCTTCTATATAAATACTCTGTACACTTGCTTTGTTGCTTAGTGAATTCATTACATTCATCATTATCTCTATCTCTGAATTCTATTAGTACAGCATCAGAGTTAATAAAACGCAAACTATCCACCAGTTTAACAAAGACTAAAAAGCACTTCGTAATTTGAGATGGGTGTGCATTAGGAGACCAGTACACACACTCCACACTCCACACTCCACACTCCCTATACATGACCAGAGTTCATTGTATAAGGTGAAGTATTAGTGTTTTTTTTCCTTTTCATCCAATCAAATGATGCCAAACCATGGAGTATGTAAAATGGGCTAGTATACATTTTCTTAAGTATTGGCGTACTATTTCAGAATTTCCTTACTCCAACTTAATGAAGTGGTTCATTATTGTATGCACTTAGATACGAGCAATGGTGATTATAAACCCTGGAAATCCCACTGGGCAATGTCTTAGTGAAGCAAACCTGAAAGATGTATTACGATTCTGTTACCAAGAAAACTTGGTGTTGCTCGCAGATGAAGTTTATCAACAGAATGTCTACCAAGATGAGCGCCCCTTTATAAGTGCAAAGAAGGTAATCACATCAAGTTTAATTGAAAATTTATCATTAATTCCATCCCCTGAAGCTTATAGAACTTGATGTCATATACTGATAGTATTACTTTCAAACCTTAAGGTTCTATTGAATATGGGCCCACCCATAAGCAGAGAAGTTCAGCTTGTTTCATTCCACACGGTCTCAAAAGGATACTTTGGTGAGTGTGGACAGCGTGGTGGATATTTTGAGATGACTAATATCCCTCCCAAGGTCTATCTTGTCCTACTTCTGTTTTATTATATACTGGAAACTGTCAATCTGTTGCACACCTAAATAAAGTGTATTGCTCTATTTATCTAATCTACAGACTGTTGAGGAGATATACAAGATTGCTTCGATATCCCTTAGTCCAAATGTGCCTGGGCAAATATTTGTAAGTCATTTATTATTTATTTATTTTATTTATAGTGTGTGTTTTAAAAGCCATCATTATCACTTTAAATTTGCTGTCGGAGTTAATGAAATAAATTTAATCTTGTACTATAATTTTGATCCTCGTTGGTAAGTAATTTTTTATATATTATGGTCGAAATGATTGTTTGGGCTGAATGATTTTCATTGTATTTAACATGTACACTTTAAATAAGTGAAATAATAATGTCCACAAGGTCAAGGTAGAAGTGTCATTTATCATTATATTAGTAAATATGTTCTGAACACACTTATTTATTTAATTTATTTATTCATTCTCTGCCTGTTACATCCGACCCCTTACCCCACCGTATGTGGGAGCCTTTGCGGCACTGGAGTAAATGAAGATGATGAAATGAAGACGAATTCATTCTCTGCCGGTTAAACTAAAATGTATAATGCTAACATCCTAAACAAGTGTATATAATAAAATACAAGATAATTAGTTAATTAAGTTTTAACTAAAATGGATAATGTGAACATCCTAAACAAGTGCATTTATATTTAATGTTGAAAATGAATCCTGCACAGTGCTACGGTGTAAGGTTAGTTTAAGCTGCCAAGAAATGAAGTATATTTTCCAAACAAACAGATTTAATTTCCTCTGCTCTCCATTCCTTTACCCCTTCCCCTGCTCCCACCCTCCTTCTGCTTCTTTGCCCCCACCATTGCCTCTTGTTGAAATATAAACTAGAATAACATTGAAGATGAAGAGAAGGATTTTCTGTGTATTTCATTAGAGGGTTAAGGCCCTATATATATATATATTACAAAGATGGAATATTCCTATATAAGATGCTATACAATTATAATGTCTAGAGTATATTCCTAAAGCATATTCTAGAGCATATTCCTAAAGCATATTCCTAGATACAATAATACTTTCACACTCCCCCTCAAGTTGGAGCATAGATATTTATCATGCCCAACTTGTTACATAAGTAATCAACTCGAATCCCATTTAGAGCTTTAGTGAATAAATCTCCAAGTTGTTCTCCAGTCTTCACATACCCGGTAGAGATTAATCCTTTTTGTATCTTCTCTCGAATAAAATGGCAATCAACCTCAATATGCTTTGTTCTCTCGTGAAATACGGGGTTGTTTGCTATGTGTATAGCAGCTTGGTTATCGCACCACAACTGAGCAGGCATTGGTGTCTTCAATCCAATTTCATTCAATAAATGGTGTATCCATATTATCTCACATGCGGATTGTGCCATAGCTCGATATTCTGATTCAGCACTAGAACGAGAAACCACATTCTGTTTCTTACTCTTCCAGGATACAAGATTACCACCAACAAAGACACAATAGCCAGATGTAGATCTTCGATCATCTTTAGAACCGGCCCAATCAGCATCTGCAAAGCATTCTATTCTCATGTGATCATGGTTTTGATAAACAATACCTCGTCCTGGTGCTCCCTTTAAGTAACATAATATGTGTTCTACAGCAGCCCAATGATCAATGGTCGGAGATGACATGTATTGACTCACTATACTCACAGAATAAGCAATATCTGGACGGGTGACTGCGAGATAATTAAGCTTTCCAACCAGTCTTCTATATCTTTCTGGGTCTTCAAACGGTGTGCCTTCTTGAGTGAGTTGCACGTTGGGAACCATGGGTGTTGTACTTGGTTTTGCCCCTAATTTCCCTGTCTCAGCTAGTAAGTCAAGTACATATTTAAGTTGAGATAGAAATATGCCTTTCTTACTTCGTGTTACCTCAATTCCCAGAAAGTATTTCAAAGAGCCAAGATCTTTCGTCTGGAATTGACTATGCAGAAAATTCTTAAGGGCCAAAATACATGCATTATCACTCCCTGTAATCACAATATCATCAACATATACCACAAGCAATGTGACACCTGATTCTGTTTGTTTGTAAAATACAGAGTGGTCTGATTTGCCTTTTATCATTCCAAATTGTTCAATTGATTGACTGAATTTCCCAAACCATGCACGAGGACTCTGTTTCAGACCATAAAGAGATTTGCGAAGTCGACAAACTTTACCATACTCCCCCTGAGCAACAAATCCCGGAGGTTGCTCAATATAGACTTCTTCCTTAAGGTCACCATGCAAAAATGCATTTTTAATGTCCAATTGATGTAAGTGCCAATCATGAATTGCAGCGAGTGAGATAAGTAACCTGACAGATGTTAATTTAGCAACAGGAGAAAAAGTGTTAGAATAATCAACACCATAGGTTTGAGCATAACCCTTCGCAACTAATCGGGCTTTCAACCGAGCAACGGATCCGTCTGGGTTAACCTTAACAGCAAAGACCCACTTACATCCAATAGATTTCTTCCCTGTAGGTAAGTCAACCAAATCCCATGTACCATTAAGATCTAAAGCATTCATTTCCTCTACCATGGCTTGACGCCATTCAGGATGAGACAGAGCTTCTTTGACAGATTTGGGAACAAAAATAGAATCAATGGAAGCAATAAAAGAACATGAAGCAGGAGATAACTGATTGTACGACACAAATGAAGAAATAGGATGAGTACAAGACCGTGTACCTTTACGTACTGCTATTGGGAGATCAAGATCTGATGTGGAAACAAGATCTGAAGATGCAGATACTGGTTCAGGACATGAGATCGGAGTCGAACTAGTATCAAGAAAAGTAATCACAGGTATCGCCGGTGGAGGGTGATCAGGTGCTTTGTGTCGACGGGTGTATACCAAATGTACGGGAGGCCTAGGGTCATGAACAGTAACTTGTGGAATATTTGTCGAAAGTGTGGACTCGGGAATAGTCATCGTGTAAATGAGAATATCATCATTACTCTCACGAATATCTGCCTTAGATGATGAAAAAGGTGTATTTTCATGAAATGATACATCAATAGAAACAAGATACCGACCAGTACTCGGACAAAAACATCTATACCCCTTTTGGACTCGAGAATAACCCAAGAAAATACATTTTAATGATTTCGGATCTAACTTTGTTAGATGAGGATTAACATCTCTAACAAAACAAGTGCAACCAAATATTTTAGGTGGGATAGGAAAAAGCTCTCTGTTTGGAAATAGACAATGATAAGGAGCTTTACCATTCAAAACAGAAGATGGCATTCGATTTATCAAAAAACATGCAGTAGACACGGCATCTGCCCAAAACTGTTTAGGCACATTCATTTGGAATAGAAGATCCCTTGCAGTTTCTAACAGATGTCGGTTCTTTCGTTCCGCAACTCCATTTTGAGGAGGTGTATCAACACATGAAGTTTGATGAATAATGCCATGTTGAAGCATAAATGACTTAAATGTAGCAGATAGATTTTCTTGGGCATTGTCTCCTCTTAACACCCGAACAGGAACATTAAACTGAGTTTTAATTTCAGCACAAAAGGAAGAAAAATGAGTGAACAACTCAGATCGACGTTTCATGAAATACAACCATGTCATACGAGAATAGTCGTCAACAAAGGTAACAAAATATTTAAAACCAGCTTTAGACACAACCGGGCAAGCACCCCAAACATCAGAGTGAACAAGGTCAAATGGAGCATTTGCTCGTTTATTAACTCGCGGGCCTAAGCTAGTACGATGGTGTTTCGCAAATTGACATGACTCACATTGTAAAGAGGTCGTTTTATTAAATTGGGGATTTATTTGCTTCATTAATGGGAGAGATGGATGTCCTAATCGGTAATGAGCATCTAACAAAGTCCCAACCCCAAGACAAGAGATACCTTTGGTGATGGATGTATCCAAAATATATAGACCAGCTGACTCATGTCCTTTACCAATAATCTGCATCGTTAACAGATCCTGAAACACACAATATCCCGGAAAAAATGTTACAGAACAGTTAAGAGTACGAGTGATTTTACTGATGGAAAGCAGATTAAATGCAAAATTAGGAAGACTCAAAACAGGCGATAATGGTAATGTAGAAGTTGGAACAACAGTACCAGATCCAAGAACGGGTGAGGTAGATCCATCGGCTAAAGTGACACTAGAAGTAGGTAAATATGAATGAAATGACGAGAATAGACTAGGATTACCGGTCATATGATCTGTGGCACCTGAGTCAATGACCCATTTCGAGGATGAGGAAACAAGACACGTGTTTGAAATACCTGAATTAGCGATTACCGAGATAGGGACAGAGGAATGCCTTAGAGTTTCTTGGTAGCAAATAAATTTGGCATACTCGTCTGAAGAAATAGCAATTGATCCATCGGATGAACTGGTAGCGGAAGCAACATGAGCAAGCTGATTTCCTTGATTTTTGAACAACAATTTTCTAGATTCTTTGATCAAGTGTCCGGGCTTCTTACGGTAATTGCATATTACTCCTCTGTCAAATCCACTCGTACAAGACATTTTTTTTTTTTACGAAACAGTAATCAAATAAAAGAATTGAGATTTTCTGTAAGCTTACACCAGCTTCCCCATTTTTGGACTTAAAATTTGGAGAATAAAATATACAGCTTGGGCCTTGACTGCTACGGACTCCTGACTTAATTCCAGATGCCTAGAGATCTGTTGGTCTGATGCCAGACCCTAACTGTGCGAACAAAGGAGCCTGCGGATGTTCACAAATATCCTATGCGAGACCCAGTAGAGAAGATGCGAACAACCAGAAGGAGCGGACGTCCACAGATATCCCTCCAGATATGTCCGATGTCAAACCCTATCTACCAACCAGAAGGAGCGGACGTCCCTTGCTGAAGAAAGAACAAAAGAGGTAAAGTATACCTGGTAGAGGATTTCCAGACGAGCCTCAGGCGAATAGTTCCGATCAAATCTCTGGCCAGACACACGGCATCACGCGCTGGAGCGTGCGGCGTCTGCGAGAACTTTTGGCGGCGTCTGTATTGAACTCGCGGCGATTTTGTTGTGCGGATTTCAAGTGTTTGGTCAGCTGCGGAATGCGTGTCTGCTTAGGTTGGAGGTGCTACTGTGAATTTTGGACGAAGGTTCTGAGTTTGGGACTAAGGTTCTGATTTTTTTTTCTGGACTAAACTAAGGTTCGGAATAATCTCAAGACTGAACTCAGTTCTTGAAGAAAGAATCTAGTCTGAAAATTAACTGGAATCTGAAAAGAAAAACTAAACTGAAATAGAATGCTCTGATACCATGTTGAAATATAAACTAGAATAACATTGAAGATGAAGAGAAGGATTTTCTGTGTATTTCATTAGAGGGTTAAGGCCCTATATATATATTACAAAGATGGAATATTCCTATATAAGATGCTATACAATAATAATGTCTAGAGTATATTCCTAAAGCATATTCTAGAGCATATTCCTAAAGCATATTCCTAGATACAATAATACTTTCACACCTCTATTGCCTCCATTGCCTTCAGAGATAATTTCCTTGGCCTGTTTGACCGCCGCAACTCTTCTTATTGATTGATGACCTTTTCTTGTTGATTTATGACTATGCTATCAAAAGAGGAGACCAAAGATCGTGATAAATCCTCTCCTCCACCCCCTTCTGACAAGTTTAATGAGCTTGTGACATTTTCTACATGGATCGGCATCAAAAGAAGTGGAAGTTGACATGTGAAACAAGGTAATATCTGGGAAAAAAAGAGAATATTACCTCATCAACATACAAATGTTAAAATATCTCAAAATTTTCAGATGTCAACTTACCATATCAGGAGTCAAATGTTTCAGATTCCAAAGATCCATCCTTTTAGTACAGTACTTCATTGTGCTTGTGCATCGGGACAAATGGATGGACACCTCTCAAAAACAATTACGTCCAAAATTGGGGAACAACCATTAATGATCGACAAATTTAGTACTGTACTTAAAGGATGGATCTTTGGAATCTGAAACATTTGACTCATGATATGGTAAGTTGGTATCTGAAAATTTTGAGATATTTTAACATTTGTCTGTTGATGAGGTAATATTCTCTTTTTTCCCAAGTATTACCTTGCCTCACATGTCAACCTCCACTTCTTTTGATGCCGACCCCTATGGAGAATGTCACGAGCTCATTAAACTCGACAGAAGGAGTGGTGGAGGAGAGGATTTGTCACGATCTTTGGTCTCCTCTTTCGATAGCATAGCCATCAATCAGCAAGAACAGGCCATCAATCAAAGAGAAGAGTTGCGGCGGTCAAACAGGCCAAGGAAATGATCTCAGAAGGCAATGGTGGGTGCAAAGAAGCAGGAGGGTGGGGGCAGGGGAAAGGACAACAGAGGAAATTAAATCTGTTTGTTTGGAAAATATACTTCATTTCTTGGCAGCTTAAACTAACCTTACGCTGTAGCACTGTGCAGGATTCGTTTTCAACATTAAATATAAATGCACTTGTTTAGGATGTTCACATTGTCCATTTTAGTTAAAACTTAATTAATTATCTTGTATTTTATACACTTGTTTAGGATGTCCGCATTATCCATTTTAGGCCGTATATATGAATACAAAATAAAATTACATATAATAAAAAACCTGAAATGGTGAAGCATAAAATCATAATCTATTAACTATAATCAAATCCAAATTTTTTTAACATACATATGCACTTACACAGTTAAATTACGGAACGACACCTTTCTCACATTTTGCATACATGTTCTTTTTTGAATTGCTGCGCTGCTTTTCTTGCAGCTAGGTCTAATGGTGAACCCTCCTAAAGCTGGAGATGTCTCTTATGCTCAATTTGTTCGGGAAAGGTATGGCTCCATGGGAACCAGTTTTGTACTCTATAAATATGATATAGAAAACTGCATTATATTAATTGTCAATGCCACACTCAGCAAAGGGATCCTTGAGTCGCTAAGGAGAAGGGCCCGTATAATGACAGATGGATTCAATCGCTGCAGAAATGTTGTCTGCAATTTTACCGAAGGCTAGTAACATCACTGAGCTCTTTTACTTTTATAGCTTATTCCAAATCAGTTCACATCTTACTCATTTAGAAAGCTTTTACAGTTGCCATACTAGGCAACACGTAGGCAAGGTTGAAAGAGAGTTAGGCAAGTAGTCTAAGTGGAAATAAGTAGGCAACCAAGGATATTGTTAGGCCCTTCTGTAACACTTGAGATTTAATTTAAATGGATTAATAGTACTACTCATACCAATAAGATGCATCTCCTTTTAAGGGAGCTCATTAGCTAAGAACTCCAAAGTTAAGCGTGCTGGCACGAGAGTAATCTTGGGATGTGTGACCTTCTAGGAAGTTTCTCAGGGCGCGCATGAGTGAGGACAAAGTGTGCGAAAAAAGGCTAGTGACGGTTTGTGAGGACAGTACTAGAGGTCTGGAGGATGTTTAAGAGTAACTACCTCGGACCCTACGGCGCGGGGTGTTACACCTTCAAATTACACAAATATGAAAATACAAATAAACACATAAGACATTGCGTTATTCCTCCTATCAAATTAAACCTCGACTTTTTATTTTTTATGTAGTTCAGTTTGGGTATGATAAGCTGTTATGACTTATCAATAATTAAAAGTACATACTTTCTCTCAGAAGCTATGTAGAGTAGCTTCTAAAAAAGATTTTAAAAATTTTAAAGCAACTTCTAAAAATTATTATGTCAAAACAATGAAACATACAACTAAGAGGTTTTAAAGATTTTTTAAAATAAAAAACTATATAATCGGGACTTATGTTTGTCAAACATTCGAATAAATTCCACTTTTGGTCCTACAAATTTTAGGTCAATTCTACATTTAGTCCACATCTTTCACTTTGTCTACTTTTGATACATGACTATTGGGTCTCCGCCCATATATGATCCTTCTGACATTGTTTCTGATAGTTAAAATCGCTGGAAAAGAACCACAAATGGTTAAAAAACATTAGTCAAGTACCCAAAATGGAAAAAGTGAAAGACGTGAACTAAAGGTGGAATTGACACAAAACTCGTAGGATGAAAAGTCGAATTAATTCGTCAAACATGCATATAATATGAAATTGTGTTAATTTCAAGTGAGTGAATCCGTTTACTGACTTTACTCCAAAGAAATGAGTACATGAACATCATGATTAGCCTACTTCAACATTTCACAGGGCAAGGAAAGTCACCCCATATTTGCCACTCTTAGAACTTATTTAACTAATTTCAAGATCAGCATGTTCCATCGAGTCTCAATCTTATATTGAAGGTTATGTTAAGCCTTCCTATATTGAGTTATTGACTGAATAAAACCATTTAGAATGGAAATCCAAATCTTATTATATTGTTGGATATCTGGTAAGGGGTCAATCAGTAGTAGTTGCTAGGATTTTTACCTCATCGATTTTACCCACATAAGTGTTTGCAGGTGCCATGTATTCTTTCCCACAAGTATGCCTTCCCCGCGGAGCTATTGAAGCTGCTAAAAGTCTAGGAAAAGCTCCTGACGTTTTCTATTGTCTCAAGCTCTTGGAGGCCACAGGAATCTCCACCGTTCCTGGCTCAGGATTCGGTCAAAAGGAAGGGTACCACTTTCATTCTTCAATTCAATCATTATGGTCTATTTTATTTTCTACTTTAAAACCTTTATTTTCTGTGTAGGGTTTTCCACCTTAGAACGACTATCTTGCCAGCTGAGGAAGACATGCCCTCTATCATGGCTAGTTTCAAAGAGTTCAATGACAAGTTCATGGACCACTATGAAGATCACAAAGGCTATTCCAGAATGTAACTACTTATTATACGTAGTATGCTAGAGAATAATCAACTTTTACAATCACGATATATGTGCATGTGTGCATGCACATATATATGCATTTATGTATGATTGTATGGTATATATATACATAGTATATAATATGATTAACTGGGGAGGTAAATCAGTTTACACACAATGTTATTTTCAGTTCTGTGATGGTTTGGTTGTAATCCAAAATATCTTTGAATATACATGCATGAATAAATAACAACACTTCTTTCAAAGATTTTTTATCCAGACACTGTTTGTTAAAACGAAATGCATGTAACTTGGAATATGTATTTCTCTTTCATGAAACTATTTAAGCAAGTTTTAGATAACAAATTCTAATGACACTGCTCTAGTAATCAACCACCTTATTTCAACATGCACTCCATTCTAATCAAGTCATTACACAACATCATAGACTCGAGTACATCCTATTATCCTCATACATTTATAGGACCAATACTGGACTACATAAGGAATATTGACCCAAACAGCCAAACTTGTTAATTGGTGTGGGGACTGTGGGCATAGCATTGCTCTCAGCCTAAGCTACAATTAGTGAACTAATCGACTAGTTTAATCTAGAGGCCCAACTCAATCATTCAGCCTAGCTTAAAGGAATCCCGAACTTAGTTTGAACTTTGAAGAGAAGGCCTATGCAATTGGCTGTGTATGAATGGATGGTGTTTGTGCTGATTATATATGAACTTATTTCGAAAAGAAGGCCTATTCAATTGGTTGTGTATGAATAAATGGTGTTTGTGCCTATCATATATGAACTTATTTTGAAGAGAAGGCATATGCATTTGGCTGTGTATGAACGGATGATGTTTGTGCCGATCATATATTGATGGACCCGGGCCGGTCCGGTTCCGGTTCCGGGCCGGGCCCGGGCGGGCTTTTTTTGCAAATCATTGGGCCCGGAACCGGCCCGGGTTGATACCGGGTCCGGGCCTAACCGGGCCGGGCCGGGCCCGATTCAATGTCTATTTTTTTTTTGCTTTCTTGTTATCCCCCGACCCCCCACCCCCACCCCCCAAACCTCCCCAAAACACCCAGCCCTACCCTAGAAAAAGGAAAAAAATTGAAAAAAAAAATTGACACGGGCCTGACCCGAACCGCCCGGGCCGGTTCGCCCAAAACTGGGCCCAAGCCCGGCCCGCCCGACCCGCCCAAATGGGCTAAAAGCCCAGAACCGGCCAACTGGTCCCGGTCCGGTCCGGGCCTGCACAGTAGCGGGCTGGGCCGGTTCCGGGCTGGCCCGGCCCGGTTTAGTCCATCCCTATATGTGACAGTCTCACTTTCTCAACTAGCTATGTTGATCTTAGAGTTTGTGAAAGCTCATATCCGAATGGACAATTTATCTTTGAAATCGTGAAAATCATCTCATGGAAGTGGTGCGATAAATATTGAAAAGGTTTAATATGAAGTAGGTGTCAATCAAAACATTGTCGCAAAGGCATATCTGCGATGAAAGTCAAATGACTAGCATGAGATCTTTTAAATGTAGCACAAAGGGCTTATGTCAAATGAGTGACTAATACCTTGATAAAAGAAATGCTTAATAGGCAAAAATGGTAATTTAAACCAGTTGTTTAGACTCACAAACATATATATATATATTGTAAATAATTTAACAAATGTGTCAATTGTAACTAATTAAATCTATTACTACGTATATGTATATGCGTATGTTGAAGGTAGGAACTATTGTCTTCAAAGATGGTTATCGGTTCACTGTCACATAGTGTAAAGAAAGGGGAATTTGATTTTGCACCTCACTTTTTGGGTAATATTGGATTTTGTATCCATTTGAAAAGTTGGATATTTGAATTCCCCTTCAATAATTACAATCAATTGTATTTGAATTTCAAATTCAAGTATTAAAATATATTGGACAAAGAAATTAGATTTTTATTACGAGATGCAATGATGCAATAAAGTGAATCAAACTATTTACCAAATTAGTTTATGCATAGTTTTTTTTAATTCTAATTGACTTTGCAATAGTGAATCAAACTATTTACCAAATTAGTTCATGCATAAGTTTTTTTTAATTCTAATTGACTTCAAGAACTCTCTATGATCCCCAATTCTTCTTGCACGGACGTCTTCCTCTTGCCCCTTAATATCGATCTTGACATTAAAATCATTATAAGAGCCTCTTAACATTGAAATTGATTGAATTGGATGATTTTGATGAAATTTATGAAGTTCTGGTTGAAATGGCTGGTTGAAATGGCTGTATTGACAGATTATGCTGATTTATTAAAAAATTATATTTAAAATAATTGTTATAAATAAATAAAATAAAAGATTATACGAAAAAATAGCTAAACTGATCCTCTACAGTAACTTCAGCCAATACAGCCAAAAAAGTAACTTCAACCTTACTTTTTCTTATTATTACACAATTCAGTGCACGAAATTAAAGTTACATGTTTGATGAAAAAGTTGACTGATAAGTTTGATAAGGCGAAAAAGGGGACCATCAAATGGGCTCTCGGGCTCTAAAAGTTTAAAACAACAGCCTTCTATTGACATCTCATCTCAGTTAAATGCGTTTTTTGTACCATGGCATTTCGGTCTGATGGTCTTCATAATGCCTAAATGCAAGTTCAGATAGTTTAGGAATTAGGATATATTTGCGCGGCGGTAATAACATTTGGGGGTTGTTGACCCTTTACAGAAATTTTTATAAATAAATAAGAGAAATTATCCAATATAGGAATAAATATAAACATAATTGCATAGGGTCATGAACAGTAACTTGTGGAATATTTGTCGAAAGTGTGGACTCGGGAATAGTCATCGTGTAAATGAGAATATCATCATTACTCTCACGAATATCTGCCTTAGATGATGAAAAAGGTGTATTTTCATGAAATGATACATCAATAGAAACAAGATACCGACCAGTACTCGGACAAAAACATCTATACCCCTTTTGGACTCGAGAATAACCCAAGAAAATACATTTTAATGATTTCGGATCTAACTTTGTTAGATGAGGATTAACATCTCTAACAAAACAAGTGCAACCAAATATTTTAGGTGGGATAGGAAAAAGCTCTCTGTTTGGAAATAGACAATGATAAGGAGCTTTACCATTCAAAACAGAAGATGGCATTCGATTTATCAAAAAACATGCAGTAGACACGGCATCTGCCCAAAACTGTTTAGGCACATTCATTTGGAATAGAAGATCCCTTGCAGTTTCTAACAGATGTCGGTTCTTTCGTTCCGCAACTCCATTTTGAGGAGGTGTATCAACACATGAAGTTTGATGAATAATGCCATGTTGAAGCATAAATGACTTAAATGTAGCAGATAGATTTTCTTGGGCATTGTCTCCTCTTAACACCCGAACAGGAACATTAAACTGAGTTTTAATTTCAGCACAAAAGGAAGAAAAATGAGTGAACAACTCAGATCGACGTTTCATGAAATACAACCATGTCATACGAGAATAGTCGTCAACAAAGGTAACAAAATATTTAAAACCAGCTTTAGACACAACCGGGCAAGCACCCCAAACATCAGAGTGAACAAGGTCAAATGGAGCATTTGCTCGTTTATTAACTCGCGGGCCTAAGCTAGTACGATGGTGTTTCGCAAATTGACATGACTCACATTGTAAAGAGGTCGTTTTATTAAATTGGGGATTTATTTGCTTCATTAATGGGAGAGATGGATGTCCTAATCGGTAATGAGCATCTAACAAAGTCCCAACCCCAAGACAAGAGATACCTTTGGTGATGGATGTATCCAAAATATATAGACCAGCTGACTCATGTCCTTTACCAATAATCTGCATCGTTAACAGATCCTGAAACACACAATATCCCGGAAAAAATGTTACAGAACAGTTAAGAGTACGAGTGATTTTACTGATGGAAAGCAGATTAAATGCAAAATTAGGAAGACTCAAAACAGGCGATAATGGTAATGTAGAAGTTGGAACAACAGTACCAGATCCAAGAACGGGTGAGGTAGATCCATCGGCTAAAGTGACACTAGAAGTAGGTAAATATGAATGAAATGACGAGAATAGACTAGGATTACCGGTCATATGATCTGTGGCACCTGAGTCAATGACCCATTTCGAGGATGAGGAAACAAGACACGTGTTTGAAATACCTGAATTAGCGATTACCGAGATAGGGACAGAGGAATGCCTTAGAGTTTCTTGGTAGCAAATAAATTTGGCATACTCGTCTGAAGAAATAGCAATTGATCCATCGGATGAACTGGTAGCGGAAGCAACATGAGCAAGCTGATTTCCTTGATTTTTGAACAACAATTTTCTAGATTCTTTGATCAAGTGTCCGGGCTTCTTACGGTAATTGCATATTACTCCTCTGTCAAATCCACTCGTACAAGACATTTTTTTTTTTTACGAAACAGTAATCAAATAAAAGAATTGAGATTTTCTGTAAGCTTACACCAGCTTCCCCATTTTTGGACTTAAAATTTGGAGAATAAAATATACAGCTTGGGCCTTGACTGCTACGGACTCCTGACTTAATTCCAGATGCCTAGAGATCTGTTGGTCTGATGCCAGACCCTAACTGTGCGAACAAAGGAGCCTGCGGATGTTCACAAATATCCTATGCGAGACCCAGTAGAGAAGATGCGAACAACCAGAAGGAGCGGACGTCCACAGATATCCCTCCAGATATGTCCGATGTCAAACCCTATCTACCAACCAGAAGGAGCGGACGTCCCTTGCTGAAGAAAGAACAAAAGAGGTAAAGTATACCTGGTAGAGGATTTCCAGACGAGCCTCAGGCGAATAGTTCCGATCAAATCTCTGGCCAGACACACGGCATCACGCGCTGGAGCGTGCGGCGTCTGCGAGAACTTTTGGCGGCGTCTGTATTGAACTCGCGGCGATTTTGTTGTGCGGATTTCAAGTGTTTGGTCAGCTGCGGAATGCGTGCCTGCTTAGGTTGGAGGTGCTACTGTGAATTTTGGACGAAGGTTCTGAGTTTGGGACTAAGGTTCTGATTTTTTTTTCTGGACTAAACTAAGGTTCGGAATAATCTCAAGACTGAACTCAGTTCTTGAAGAAAGAATCTAGTCTGAAAATTAACTGGAATCTGAAAAGAAAAACTAAACTGAAATAGAATGCTCTGATACCATGTTGAAATATAAACTAGAATAACATTGAAGATGAAGAGAAGGATTTTCTGTGTATTTCATTAGAGGGTTAAGGCCCTATATATATATTACAAAGATGGAATATTCCTATATAAGATGCTATACAATAATAATGTCTAGAGTATATTCCTAAAGCATATTCTAGAGCATATTCCTAAAGCATATTCCTAGATACAATAATACTTTCACACCTCTATTGCCTCCATTGCCTTCAGAGATAATTTCCTTGGCCTGTTTGACCGCCGCAACTCTTCTTATTGATTGATGACCTTTTCTTGTTGATTTATGACTATGCTATCAAAAGAGGAGACCAAAGATCGTGATAAATCCTCTCCTCCACCCCCTTCTGACAAGTTTAATGAGCTTGTGACATTTTCTACATGGATCGGCATCAAAAGAAGTGGAAGTTGACATGTGAAACAAGGTAATATCTGGGAAAAAAAGAGAATATTACCTCATCAACATACAAATGTTAAAATATCTCAAAATTTTCAGATGTCAACTTACCATATCAGGAGTCAAATGTTTCAGATTCCAAAGATCCATCCTTTTAGTACAGTACTTCATTGTGCTTGTGCATCGGGACAAATGGATGGACACCTCTCAAAAACAATTACGTCCAAAATTGGGGAACAACCATTAATGATCGACAAATTTAGTACTGTACTTAAAGGATGGATCTTTGGAATCTGAAACATTTGACTCATGATATGGTAAGTTGGTATCTGAAAATTTTGAGATATTTTAACATTTGTCTGTTGATGAGGTAATATTCTCTTTTTTCCCAAGTATTACCTTGCCTCACATGTCAACCTCCACTTCTTTTGATGCCGACCCCTATGGAGAATGTCACGAGCTCATTAAACTCGACAGAAGGAGTGGTGGAGGAGAGGATTTGTCACGATCTTTGGTCTCCTCTTTCGATAGCATAGCCATCAATCAGCAAGAACAGGCCATCAATCAAAGAGAAGAGTTGCGGCGGTCAAACAGGCCAAGGAAATGATCTCAGAAGGCAATGGTGGGTGCAAAGAAGCAGGAGGGTGGGGGCAGGGGAAAGGACAACAGAGGAAATTAAATCTGTTTGTTTGGAAAATATACTTCATTTCTTGGCAGCTTAAACTAACCTTACGCTGTAGCACTGTGCAGGATTCGTTTTCAACATTAAATATAAATGCACTTGTTTAGGATGTTCACATTGTCCATTTTAGTTAAAACTTAATTAATTATCTTGTATTTTATACACTTGTTTAGGATGTCCGCATTATCCATTTTAGGCCGTATATATGAATACAAAATAAAATTACATATAATAAAAAACCTGAAATGGTGAAGCATAAAATCATAATCTATTAACTATAATCAAATCCAAATTTTTTTAACATACATATGCACTTACACAGTTAAATTACGGAACGACACCTTTCTCACATTTTGCATACATGTTCTTTTTTGAATTGCTGCGCTGCTTTTCTTGCAGCTAGGTCTAATGGTGAACCCTCCTAAAGCTGGAGATGTCTCTTATGCTCAATTTGTTCGGGAAAGGTATGGCTCCATGGGAACCAGTTTTGTACTCTATAAATATGATATAGAAAACTGCATTATATTAATTGTCAATGCCACACTCAGCAAAGGGATCCTTGAGTCGCTAAGGAGAAGGGCCCGTATAATGACAGATGGATTCAATCGCTGCAGAAATGTTGTCTGCAATTTTACCGAAGGCTAGTAACATCACTGAGCTCTTTTACTTTTATAGCTTATTCCAAATCAGTTCACATCTTACTCATTTAGAAAGCTTTTACAGTTGCCATACTAGGCAACACGTAGGCAAGGTTGAAAGAGAGTTAGGCAAGTAGTCTAAGTGGAAATAAGTAGGCAACCAAGGATATTGTTAGGCCCTTCTGTAACACTTGAGATTTAATTTAAATGGATTAATAGTACTACTCATACCAATAAGATGCATCTCCTTTTAAGGGAGCTCATTAGCTAAGAACTCCAAAGTTAAGCGTGCTGGCACGAGAGTAATCTTGGGATGTGTGACCTTCTAGGAAGTTTCTCAGGGCGCGCATGAGTGAGGACAAAGTGTGCGAAAAAAGGCTAGTGACGGTTTGTGAGGACAGTACTAGAGGTCTGGAGGATGTTTAAGAGTAACTACCTCGGACCCTACGGCGCGGGGTGTTACACCTTCAAATTACACAAATATGAAAATACAAATAAACACATAAGACATTGCGTTATTCCTCCTATCAAATTAAACCTCGACTTTTTATTTTTTATGTAGTTCAGTTTGGGTATGATAAGCTGTTATGACTTATCAATAATTAAAAGTACATACTTTCTCTCAGAAGCTATGTAGAGTAGCTTCTAAAAAAGATTTTAAAAATTTTAAAGCAACTTCTAAAAATTATTATGTCAAAACAATGAAACATACAACTAAGAGGTTTTAAAGATTTTTTAAAATAAAAAACTATATAATCGGGACTTATGTTTGTCAAACATTCGAATAAATTCCACTTTTGGTCCTACAAATTTTAGGTCAATTCTACATTTAGTCCACATCTTTCACTTTGTCTACTTTTGATACATGACTATTGGGTCTCCGCCCATATATGATCCTTCTGACATTGTTTCTGATAGTTAAAATCGCTGGAAAAGAACCACAAATGGTTAAAAAACATTAGTCAAGTACCCAAAATGGAAAAAGTGAAAGACGTGAACTAAAGGTGGAATTGACACAAAACTCGTAGGATGAAAAGTCGAATTAATTCGTCAAACATGCATATAATATGAAATTGTGTTAATTTCAAGTGAGTGAATCCGTTTACTGACTTTACTCCAAAGAAATGAGTACATGAACATCATGATTAGCCTACTTCAACATTTCACAGGGCAAGGAAAGTCACCCCATATTTGCCACTCTTAGAACTTATTTAACTAATTTCAAGATCAGCATGTTCCATCGAGTCTCAATCTTATATTGAAGGTTATGTTAAGCCTTCCTATATTGAGTTATTGACTGAATAAAACCATTTAGAATGGAAATCCAAATCTTATTATATTGTTGGATATCTGGTAAGGGGTCAATCAGTAGTAGTTGCTAGGATTTTTACCTCATCGATTTTACCCACATAAGTGTTTGCAGGTGCCATGTATTCTTTCCCACAAGTATGCCTTCCCCGCGGAGCTATTGAAGCTGCTAAAAGTCTAGGAAAAGCTCCTGACGTTTTCTATTGTCTCAAGCTCTTGGAGGCCACAGGAATCTCCACCGTTCCTGGCTCAGGATTCGGTCAAAAGGAAGGGTACCACTTTCATTCTTCAATTCAATCATTATGGTCTATTTTATTTTCTACTTTAAAACCTTTATTTTCTGTGTAGGGTTTTCCACCTTAGAACGACTATCTTGCCAGCTGAGGAAGACATGCCCTCTATCATGGCTAGTTTCAAAGAGTTCAATGACAAGTTCATGGACCACTATGAAGATCACAAAGGCTATTCCAGAATGTAACTACTTATTATACGTAGTATGCTAGAGAATAATCAACTTTTACAATCACGATATATGTGCATGTGTGCATGCACATATATATGCATTTATGTATGATTGTATGGTATATATATACATAGTATATAATATGATTAACTGGGGAGGTAAATCAGTTTACACACAATGTTATTTTCAGTTCTGTGATGGTTTGGTTGTAATCCAAAATATCTTTGAATATACATGCATGAATAAATAACAACACTTCTTTCAAAGATTTTTTATCCAGACACTGTTTGTTAAAACGAAATGCATGTAACTTGGAATATGTATTTCTCTTTCATGAAACTATTTAAGCAAGTTTTAGATAACAAATTCTAATGACACTGCTCTAGTAATCAACCACCTTATTTCAACATGCACTCCATTCTAATCAAGTCATTACACAACATCATAGACTCGAGTACATCCTATTATCCTCATACATTTATAGGACCAATACTGGACTACATAAGGAATATTGACCCAAACAGCCAAACTTGTTAATTGGTGTGGGGACTGTGGGCATAGCATTGCTCTCAGCCTAAGCTACAATTAGTGAACTAATCGACTAGTTTAATCTAGAGGCCCAACTCAATCATTCAGCCTAGCTTAAAGGAATCCCGAACTTAGTTTGAACTTTGAAGAGAAGGCCTATGCAATTGGCTGTGTATGAATGGATGGTGTTTGTGCTGATTATATATGAACTTATTTCGAAAAGAAGGCCTATTCAATTGGTTGTGTATGAATAAATGGTGTTTGTGCCTATCATATATGAACTTATTTTGAAGAGAAGGCATATGCATTTGGCTGTGTATGAACGGATGATGTTTGTGCCGATCATATATTGATGGACCCGGGCCGGTCCGGTTCCGGTTCCGGGCCGGGCCCGGGCGGGCTTTTTTTGCAAATCATTGGGCCCGGAACCGGCCCGGGTTGATACCGGGTCCGGGCCTAACCGGGCCGGGCCGGGCCCGGTTCAATGTCTATTTTTTTTTTGCTTTCTTGTTATCCCCCGACCCCCCACCCCCACCCCCCAAACCTCCCCAAAACACCCAGCCCTACCCTAGAAAAAGGAAAAAAATTGAAAAAAAAAATTGACACGGGCCTGACCCGAACCGCCCGGGCCGGTTCGCCCAAAACTGGGCCCAAGCCCGGCCCGCCCGACCCGCCCAAATGGGCTAAAAGCCCAGAACCGGCCAACTGGTCCCGGTCCGGTCCGGGCCTGCACAGTAGCGGGCTGGGCCGGTTCCGGGCTGGCCCGGCCCGGTTTAGTCCATCCCTATATGTGACAGTCTCACTTTCTCAACTAGCTATGTTGATCTTAGAGTTTGTGAAAGCTCATATCCG